CCTGATGACATTTCTCAAAATGTTTCCCCCATTCATAGGCAATGCATGACTATATATACTCATACGTATATTACATGTTGTAATTTATTGAAATTCTAAAACTTGAATTTCAATGTTAAATTGTTACAGAACAGACCCAAGGGTGGTAAATGATATACTATTACTGAAAGAACCCCCCCCCCCCTTTCTCTCCAGGGTTCCCCCACCATACTAGTTTCGCTTTGCTTGCTGCCAGAGGAAAGACGTCTCTCAATGCCAGAGACTGGTGAAAGGAAAAGAATTATTTATTTCAAAGTTATACAGACTTAGAGTAATGACTTAATGTCTTCATTAAAATACTAAAGTTCTTTAGAATACCCACAAATGCACACAGTCCTTCCTCCTCCCCTTTGCCCAGTCTGGGGTACCATATCTCAGGAGAAGAAGTAGAGTCCATGGTTCAGGCAGTCCCTCACTTCTGGCATCATCCCTTGTGTTGCTGCCATGATCTCCAGTTAATCTAAAGCCATGTGGCACCTTTTCATGGCCCACCAGCAAGAGTCCTTTCAGTCCTCTTCTTCCAGGCAAAGTCTTTCCTGCTGCCTAAGCCACATGGCAAAAGGGAGCACCCCAGAGCTGTGTGGTCCTGACCTCTGACAAAGCCTCTGGTCCTGCCCTGGTATGGCTGCCACGCCTGGGTTTAAATCCCCATGCCAATCTTCCTCTATAGCCCTATTTCCAATTCCTCCTATAATCAGTTACAGGGTGTATTCTTCCAGCTTTACTGGGCTGCCATAGTAAGTCTGGGCAGGCATGGCCCCATGGCGTGGAGCCAATCATCTCCAAGCTCTCCTGCAGACATTGTAACCAGGGGGAGTTGCTTTCTAGTTACATCCTGGGTTGAAGTCACTCCCATCCCCCTGGCTCAAAGCCTGGCCATGGCTATTTAACATATCTATGAAACCCAGTTAAAGGCTATAGATATGTTAAATGACCATGCCAGAGGTTAGCTGCAAAGCTGTTGTTATTCAAAACAGCTCTCAATGGGCCTGCTCCAGCTGTCCCATCTCCCAGCCCAGACTGGTGGGGGTGAGGACATCATATATATATTTTTCTCTAATATTTCCTGAACACCCTGAGTTCTGAACCCCATTACAAATCCCTATTTGCCCCCTCCCCCCACCTTGGCTGTACCCTGTTACAAAATGTCAATGTCTTACAAATAAATTTAAATAATTTTGTCAGTATTTTTGACAGGCCTCATCTGTGACCATTGAGGCTAATGCAGGGGAACAAAACATTTGTTAAAAGGTCAGTCTCCAGGTTTGAACATACACATTTATTTATTTATTTCTATTTCTATTTAACATATTTTATTGGTTATGCTATTACATTTGTCCCATTCTCCTCCTTCATTTCCCTCTGCCCTGTACCCCCACTTCCACCCACATTACCCACCCTTAGTTTATGTCTATGGGTCGTACGTATAAGTACTTTGGCTTCTCCGTTTCCTATACTATTCTTAACCTCCTCCTGTCTATTTTGTAGCTACCATTTATGCTGCTTATTCCCTGAACCTTTTCCCTCATTCTTCCTCGACCCCTCCCTGCTGATAACCCTACAAGTGACCTCTATTTTTCTGATTCTGTTCCTGTTCTAGTTGTTTGCTTAGTGTGTTATTTTTGTGTTTTTTTAGGTTTGCTACTTGATAGTTGTGTTTGTTGTCATTTTACTTTTCATAGTTTTGATGTTCTTCTTTGTCTTAGGTAAATACCTTTAACATTTCTAGTAATAAGGGGTGGGTGATGATGAACTCCTTTAACTTGACCTTATCTGAGAAGCACTTTATCTGCCCTTCCATTCTAAATGATAGCTTTGCTTGATAGAATAATCTTGGATGTAGGTCCTTACCTTTCATGACTTCAAATACTTCTTTCCAGCCCCTTCTTGCCTGTAAGGTTTCTCTTGAGAAATCAGCTGACAGTCTTATGGGAACTCCTTTGTAGGTAACCGTCTCCTTTTCTCCTGCTGCTTTTAAGATTCTCTCCTTATCTTTAATCTTGGGTAGCTTAATTATGATGTGCCTTGGTGTGTGCTTCTTTGGGTCCAACTTCTTTGGGACTCTCTGAGCTTCCTGGACTTCCTGGAAGTCTATTTCCTTTGCCAGATTAGGAAAGTTTCCCTTCATTATGTTTTCAAATAAATTTTCAATTTTTTGGTCTTCCTCTTCTCCTTCTGGCACCCATATGATTTGGATGTTGGAATATTTAAAGTTGTCCCTGAGGTTCCTAGGCCTCTCCTCATTGTTTTGAATTCTTGTTTCTTCATTCTATGCTGGTTGAATGTTTCTTTCTTCCTTCTGGTTCACACCATTGATTTGAGTCCCGGTTTCCTTCCCATCACTGTTGGTACCCTGTACACTTTACTTTATTTCATTTTGCATAGCCTTCACTCCTTCCTCTATTTTGTGACCATACTCAACCATTTCTGTGAGCATCCCAATTACTAGTGTTTTGAACTCTGCATCCGATAGTTTGGCTATCTCTTCATTGCTTGGCTGTTTTTTTTCCTGGAGCTTTGATCTGTTCTTTCATTTGGGCCATGTTGTTTTTGTCTTGGCACTCCTGTTTTGTAATAAGGGGTGGAGCCTTGGGTATTCACCAGGGCGGGGAAACCCAGGTTGCTGCGTTGTGGTACTCTATGTGTGGGAGGGGTCTGAGAGGGAACAGTGCAGCTTGTTCCATTCTCCAATGCTTTCAGTCACTTCCTCCACTACCCACAAGCAAATTGGGCCCTTCCAGTGCTGATTCATGGGTGGATAGATTTGTGTACATTGTGGGTCTCCCCAATAAACTCTCCTGTGAGGCTGGGAGTTACTCCTGCCATTTCAATCCCCACAGTTTTTTTTTTTTACTTAGAGGTTTTGAGGCTTTATTTCCCCTAGCTGGAACCCTGGGTTGCATGGTCTCTGTCACTCCTCGGCTGTTCCTCCTGGTTTATCTGCATGCAAATGTGGGACTGCCCAGTCCACCAGCTGCCGCCTTGCCCACCCAGGTCCTCCAGATGTTACCTTGCCATGAGTCCTCTCTGGCCTGGCTGCCTATCTCTACCCTTCCTACTGGTGTGGATGAATATCTCTTCTTTAACCCTTTGATTGTTGGACTTACATACAATTTGATTTTCTGGCAGTTCTGATTGTTTTTTGTTTTTAAGTTTGTTGTTGCCATTTTGGCTGTGCGGGGAGGCAATGTATATCCACCTATGCCTCCATCTTGGCTGGAAGTCTGAACATACACATTTTAGAGATTTGTGTGTCTTCCTCTCTTTTCTCTTTGTGCCTCAAATTCTTACTCATCTGCAGACTTATGCTTCAGATGTTTTTATAAAAGAAAAAACCCTAAATCTACAGTGGTATTTACCATGAAAATGCCCTGAGAGACATAGCACAATTTAAATGTGTACCATGTTTTAAAACATATGTATGATATATATATGTACATGCATATATAAAAATATATGTATTATATAGTCTTATAAAGAATTTTCTGATGAGAGAGAAAGGATATAAGGGGCTCAGCAGGGAATGCAGATTGTTTTTTTTTGTGGTCAGGCACACTGGTTAAAGGACAGCTCTGCCTCTTAAGGTTTTGAATGCTTCCTTTTAGCAGTCAGGGCTTCAATTTCCTCATCTGAAAGTTAGGATCATAATAGTACTTAATTAAAAAGAACAAAAACAAAAATAATAGTACTTAGTTCATAGTGGTATTTAGAGTGTAAATGAGTTAATATGTGTAAAGCCCTTAGAACAATGTCTGTCATACATTAAGTAAAGTATTACTTGCTATTGTTATTCACAATTTTAGCCTAGGCCATGGAATTGTGTACAGAGTTTTATGTCACACATTTCCCAGAACCCCCTCTCCTTTGGGAATGTTTACAGTGCAGACCCTTTATTGCCAGCTCAGGTTTGCTGTTTACCCATCTGCAGTTCCTAAGGTTTGCAATGGTATGACTGACTCACATGGTAGGTTTGTTTTGTTTTGTCCTGCAGGTACAGCCTGCAATTCTTTCTCCTAGTACTTGTGCAGCCTGATTAAATTACTGAACAGTATCAACTACAAACTTATATAACTGCATTGAGAGCATTTCCCTTAGGAATTTGCTCAGAACCATCCTAGTTGCCCAGGGAAACAAGCTGGTGATGTCACAACTATCACTCCTTTAGGTCTCCTTCAGGTCCCTTTGCCCAGCTTAAAGCAAGGTTCAGATCTATAAGCTCCGCCCAGCCTGAGTGCATTCTTATCCTTTCCCAGGCCATGCTGAGACTCCCACTTTCTCCCAGCAATGTCTAAACTCAGGTATGTTGGAGTCAGGACCACACACTGCTTCTTTGGTCACAGACCACTTGCTATGCTTCTTCCCTCCCAGGGTATAGAAACACTTAGGTGAATAAAGTGTCTGGGGCAGCCCTGGGTAGCCCTTGGTTCTTTAGGATATAGATACAAAATTAAAACAAAACAAAATAAAACCTTGGAATTGCTCCTTGGAGGACCAGAGGTTGATTCAGATTTTATGGGGCATCAGAGACCTCAGGAGCAAGATTACAACATCCCCTCCCTTTATACCTACTCCCCTCCTTGTCCTAAACATGCTCACAGTCTCTCTCCTTCCTGGTTTACCAACCTTCTCCTCATTTTCTCAAGAGATATTGTGACTTCCTTGTTCTGCTCAAATGGAAAGGAAAGAAAAGAGAATATAGTTATAACAGTATTTCACCAGTTTAGTGGCACTTCATAAGAAGGTTAGTTAACCATACACCTATCCCAGCTTAATAGGGCAAAGTGCAGCTCTTGCATGGATCTCTACCTTTATGCAAATCTACAGATTATCTGTTATCTAAATAGGACATCTGAAAACAACCAATAATCCTGTTACCAAAGTTCTCAGGAAGGCAGCCTATCAGGGAAGGACAATTCAATCTTGTTGGAACTCTCACCCTCAGCGGCGTGTGTGTTTTACAGCTCTGCAGCCTGCTGTGGGACCTCAGCTCCTACCCAACAGAAGGACGCCAGGGGAAAGCTTCTAAAGACATTCATAGTTCTGCTCTGGTCACAGCAAGCTATGACGAGGACTTCTACATGCATATACCACTTCCTTGTTTTGAACTGGTATGTTTTCCTCAATTATTACATCTTACAACAAGAAAAGGATGAGCAGAAATCCAAAATCTTTCAAAATGGTGGAAAGTACAAGTACTTGACATTCCTTAATCTGGTAAGTTCAAATGAGCATCTCAGGAAGTAATTGATTTGTCTGTAATATTGGATCTTCTACACATATCACCTTTAAGTTTTATTAAATACAAAGTTCCATTATTTCTATTCCTTCTTCATGGTTTTTGACTTTTGGCTTTCTCTTTTACCTAAAAGTTTACTCTGAGAAGCCCAATTTAGAAGTTAATCATAGGTACCTTTTGTGCTTGCTAATTGTTAAATGCTTTTTTGAAAAGAATCTTATTTGGGGGCTCTTCTCAGTTGATCTCAAGTGGGGGGACTAAATCAATGTTTTCATCATGAGACCGACTACAAATGCAGACAGGATTTTGAACTTGGCTTGGTGAAATCTCTGAGGAAGGCAGAATGGTGTATGTTGAATAGAAATGTAATTTCTTATGGAGGAATAATGCCATTTTACAGCATACACAGACTAACAGATTTATCTGAAAAAAACAAATATATTTTGCCATGTTCAGATCCCACTTCTACAGATTTTTTATAGGCTCACATCTCCACCTTAAAGGACAAAAATCACCCAACCAAATGGCAAATGCAGATTTTCAATTATATTTACAAACCATTCATATGACTTGATCCCTTCTTGTCTTTCTAACCCTGATGACCACATTCTGATGAATGAAGTGTGAATGAATGGGAGAAATAATTTTTAAAAATGTTTTGGTAACATATAAACAGATTTTTTAGAGTTAAAGGCTAAAAATGTCACATCCTTTGGGGATGCTAATTAACATTTGATATTTTTAACTAAAGTTTAGAGTGTCAATATCAACATCTGATTTCAGAAGCTGGACAAAATATTCTAATCCTCTGGAATCAGACTCCTAACCAGAGGTTATGTGTATGGTCAGAAAAAGTGACACTCTGAAATACTAAGGGTTTGAAATTCAGAAAGTTCAAATCAAACAAGCCTGGAGATTCTGCTTCTCATTCTCTGGTCATTTGCTGGCTTTTGATTTTGGCCTGAAAAATCTGAAGCCTGAATACAGCTTTAGTATGCTTGAAAATATCAAGGTGATAATTTATTTCAATCATAGAATTTTATAGGTGTAAAAGAAAATAACAAAAGAAAAGCTTTTGTGGAGCTAAAATAATACAATAAAAATCTCAGCTTTGTGTATTTGTTGGCTTTATGTTAAAAAATGATCAATGAAAAGAGAGCTGTGTCTGTAGCCAGAATTAATACTCTAAAGCAATCTAAATTCCAGTGTCCCACATCACACTCATTATGGTTAAGAACAGATTTATCACCTACTCCCATAAACCAGCTCCCTGACCTCTTACTCCTACTTCAGTTACATGCCCCAGAGCTCCCACATTTCTAAAAATGAAAAAAAAATCCACTTATTTTTTCAGACTTATTATTTCTTAGTGAAATCCCCTTTTGCTTTCCTAAGTAATTATCCACTAAATCCTATGTGTTTTCTTGTGCTTTATTTATCCCATCTTCCCTAATCTTACTGTCTCTCTCATCATAGGCTCTAATTAATTTTAACTTGGAAGGCCAGATCATCTCATTATCAATCCATCCATCTACCACTCCAATCCAAATTAATCTTTCTAAAGTACTGTTTTTGGTTTGATTTGGTTTTAAACATCATAAACGAGTTTAAGAAATGTGGTCTGCTACTCTAGAAACTACAGTGGCTTCCTTCTACCTTTTGGGACCAATTCCAAACTACCCAGGCTTCAGGTTGCCCTCCCCCAAGGAAGGCTAGTCTCTTCCCCAGGAATGCCTGTGTATTCTCCAGTGCTGGTCCCCAGGCTTCTTGCTATAACTATTCAACCCATGTACACACTATCCATGAATGAAATGCCTACCAGCTTCTCTACCACTTTGTTATTTCCATAGATCATGTGAAATCCCATATTTTCTTTAAAATCTCTGCTGACCAACTTCAGCTCCAATTTGGGGTTCCTTTCCCTAAGTTTTTACAACATCTCTCAGTGTCTCCTTATTTATATGTAGTATTGTTTTCTAATTTCTACCCACATGTGAGTCTTAATATTCCAATCAGTATGTAAATGGCTCAAAAAAACAGGAATTTTGTCCCTTAGGTCCTTGCCAGTCCTAACGGTCTACGATTCTAAGTTGCATTTGTACAACTGCTGGCACAGAGTACCCTCATAATAAACACTGGGTGACTTGGTATGTTGGCTGAACTTGACCTTAGCTTTTTCTGCATTCCTGAGCAATTAGTCTCTTCTGACATCTCCTTGCCCTTGAAATGAGCAGAGAGGGGCTTACCCGTGACTGTTTCCTTTCTGAGCTCTGTTAGGTGTCATTTGGAGAGTGTAATAATGCAAAGTTTCTCAGTTGGTAAAGATGGATTGAACGTATTTCAGAGGATTAATTTAAGAATAGATTTCAAATATGTTACTTCAGGTAAAATGTTGGGCCTTAAAATTTCTAGTTCTTAAGGTCTCGTGCCAATTAATGCTTATATTTCCTAATGATTAATTAGTGTTAAGTAATGATTAATTAGTTGACAGTTGTGCCTATAAAGTTATAGAGGTCCCATAACTTCCTATAACATTTTAAATTTTATTTATGTAAGCTGGTTGAAGTCTGTACCTGATCCTGCTTTCCAGGAAATTTATACCCCTCCCCTTAAAACAGCTTTACTTGCTAGTTGACTGAATATCAGTTATCCCCCCTTTTAAGAGCAAGTCCACCTTAGTGGAAGTCAGCATTCCGAGTAGGCCTCATTCCTCCTAAAGTTATCCCAGAAGATTCAAAGGGAAGAAGCATAGGACTGGTAGCAAGGGGTGGGGTGGGGTGGGATGAGGTGTGAGGGGGTGTCACTAAGAAGTGGTTATGGTGACCAATTCATGCCTAATGCCTAAGGGAGAGGTGGTATTACCTAGAGGTTACAAGCAGAATTTTGGGGTCATAAGCTCTCTGGGATGGTACTTCAGCTTCACCACCTACTGGCTCTGTGACCTAGAGCTAGGTATTTCTTTGTGCCTTCCATTTCTAAATCTATCAAACAGGAATAAAAATAGTTCAGCCCTGGCTGGTGTGGTTCAGCGGATTGAATGCTGGCCTGCAAACCAAAGGGTCCCAGGTTTGATTCCCTGTCAGGACTTATGTTTCTCTCCCTCTCTTTCTCCATTCGTTCCCCTTTCTCTAAAAATAAATAAATAAAATCTTGAAAAAAATTAGTTCATAACCACACAGTGACCATGAGGGATAAATAACTTGGCATGTGGGAAGCTCTCAGAATGGTCCAGGGGTGTCCAACCCCTGCAGGCTGCATGCAGCCCAGGGTGGCTATGAATGCAGCCCAACACAAAATCGTAAATTTACTTAAAACAGTATGAGATTTTTTTGTGGTTATGTGTCACAATGTATTTAATGTATGGCCCAAGACAACTCTTCTTCCAGTGTGGTCCAGGGACACCAAAAGGTTGGATGCCCCTGAAGCTGTAGACAAGAGAAAGAGAAGATGGGAAGTGGTGGTGAGCTTCTACTCATCTTATCTTTGAGTAGTGGTGGTACAGAGGGGAGGGTAATTTAGTGGAGCATGGGTCTCTTCACTGAGCACCATGGTTGGTGGGTCATGTTTCCAGGCAAGGGCCCTCCACCCTCCTCATTGCTTACTACCTCCTTCCTCAGGGTATAGGCTCTGGCTTCCCATAGAGTCCCTGCTTTCCCTGCAATAGCTGCCCAGGAGGATGCCCTCAGCATTGGGACAGTCCTGGAGGTAGAATTTGCAGGCTCAGACAGCGCTGAGTGGTGCTCAATGGGAAAGCCTTCAGAGCTGGGTGTGGAAGCAAGGCAGTATTGTGGGCATCCTCAGGGTGCACATGTTAGCTCAGAATTCCCGTGCCTCAGTATTCCACCAATGTCCTTAGTGACTGTCTCTAACCCCAGGGAAGGCAAGCTGGGGATGGGGGCCACAGAATTCATAGAGTTTTCTGGGTTTCCCTCTTTTAATAAGTAATTGTCCTTCTGAAATGTTGTGAGGGGTGATGCTATATAACTGGGCTCTTCAGGAGAGACTCTGAGTGGGTCCCTCCCCACTCCCCCACCCACCTCACCCTACCAACAGAGGCATGACTTTTCCTCCCCTCTTCATTAATTTGCCCAAACCTCAGGCAGCTCTAACTTCATTATTCTCAAGCTCTCAGGGTGATTACAGTGACTTCATCACATAGGTCCTCAGGGATGGCAAAGCAGAGCCTGGGGAAGAAAGAACCTTGAGGAAGCTCCATTGGTCTGAACTCTAAGGCAGCCCATGAAAAGTGAGAAGACAAGAATTCATTTATGTTACAGAACCCAGTTCAATACTTGGAGCCAACCTTTAATGTCCATCATCAGGTTAATGTATTAATCCATGGAACTCTTAAACACAACAGAGTCAGATATACATTTAATTGCCTATTTTACAAAAATACTTAAGGTTACTGTTTTTAGCTCTCAGAAAGCTAAAGGGATGAAGGCTGATAGAAGAGAATAGTCACCACCAACATCCAAAATAGAATAGCTATAATTTAATGAGAGCATTTTGGTAGGTTCTTTACACACAGTGTACATATTGAAGGCTTAGCTTCAGGAGTCAGACTCCCTGGGTGTGAATGCTAGCTCTGCCTTTCATTTGCTGTGGGATCTTGAGTGAGTCACTTAACTTCTCTGTTCCTCAGTTTCCTCATACATAGTGGATACTGTGGGGTGGCACTCAGATCCCCCCCGCCCCCAGGCATTGAGGAACTCATCACTCCACAGTTGGGAGAAGTATTATTGGCTGATGACTCACAGCCAAGAATCTGTCCCAGAAATTGGCTCAGCAGAAGGGAGCTGCCTAGACCAAGGCTAAGGGACCTACTTGGGGTTGCTGTATCCAATGACTGGTCCTGTTTCCTACTTCCTTCCCTTACTCTTACAGATGATATAAGAGCACTGTCAATGAACACTCTGCAAGCAGACCTTAGAGTCTCAGATTCTGTTTCCCAAGGAACCTGACCTACATAATATAAAATAATAAACTTACAGAAAAGGTTCCTCCTCCTCCTCCTCTGCCTCTCTTTTCTTCCTACTAAAAGCCTCTTAATATAGAGCCTGCCCTGGCCTGTATTATATCTAATACAATTTCTAGCACCCCATGGGCACTCTGTGAATGTTGATTGCATGAGTAAATGGCCAGAACATGGTTCTAACTAGTAAGAGCCACTTTCTATGGACTTTAGACAGCCTACCTACGTCTGTTCTACTATTACACTGATGCATGTGGTCATGTAAGTGCAACTGTGGCCAAACATGCTTATAATTCTTCTTTCCAACCTGTCCCTCAACATTCTTGTTTTTTTTCTTTTTCTCTCATCATTCCAGCTTGTGATTTTTATATCATTTCTTCCCCTATGTGCTTTTTTTCATCCTTTATCTCAATTTCTTAGGCTAAATGCATTAATGATGATTGAAACAATATACACAAATCCTACAGATAAATATATTTGGCAAAGTCTTCCTCTACCTGCCCCACATGCCACCACCCTAACCACCACAGTTATATAAAATACTCATCACAATTAGTCCCCATTTGCTGTTTTATTCTGAAATAGTCTCTCGCTGCAAGTACAAGTATTGCATCATTTGCAAGGCGAGACCAAAGAAAGTCCTGGCTTGTCCAAGTCAGGCATGGAGTGCTGAGCTGGGCATTGGATTACATGACTCATCTAAAAAGAGTTGTACTGTCTTGCTCAGAAAACTTGTGGAATCCCCCTCTCTGGAATTATTTTTTAAATAGAAAAAAAATTCTCATTTCTTGCAATAGTTTAAAAGGGTTCTGACTTAAAGGCAAAGACATAAACTTGATGACTTAGAAAGACTGTTTTGGTGATTTCAAGATTTTTGTGACTTTCATGAAAACATGTGAATATAAAAACTGAATATCCTTTAGCTATGGTTTCTTAAATTGCACTAGTTATACAAATGTAAGTTCAACTCTCCCAGGTAGGAAGTTTGTCAGCTAGCTACAAAAATGGAAGACATCTAACAAACTTAGGCCAGCAGCATTTCAGAAAAAGGCACAAAAGAACAAACAGAATTAGGAAGGGACTGGTAGAAAAAATAAATCAGAGAGCAATAGCTCTGAAGTAAGTCTTGATCAAGATACCATTAGCTCTGCTTTCCTGGGCAGCCCAAGTAGTTGAAAAATGTAAACAGCAGTAATGTTGTTAAAAGAAGGCCAGTTTTTGCTATCTTATTTTAATGCTGCTGTGTTATTCTCCTCAGGCTATCATAATATAGCACCACAGACTGGGGGCTTAAACAGCAGAAATCTACTATTTCTCTAGTTTTCCATAGGCTAAAAGTCCAAGATCAAGGCACTGGCAGGGTTGGATTCTCCTGAGGTCTCTCCCCTTGGCTTGCAGATGGTCACCTTCTTCTTGTGTTTTCACATGGTCTTCCTTCTATGTGTCTGTGTCCTGATCTCTTTTAAAGACACAGTCATAACTTAATCACGTCTTTAAAGACCCTATATCCAAATACAGTCACATTCTGAAGTAGGGGTTATTCAGCACATCAGTTTTGAGGCAGGGGACACAATTCACCCTGAACCACTACCATTTTCTCCCTTCACTGTTCTTTCTGTGCATGTTTTATAAAACATTCCATTGTTTTTCCTTAGAGAAGAACAGTCCATTGTGCAGTTCAGTGAGCTCATTCAAACCTGTCCCTAAGGTCCCCAGAAGCCTCCTCACTGAGTAAGGTCATAGCACCTCCTCTCCTTACCCTCCAGCTTTGCTCCAGTGTGGCTCCTCTGTGTCCTAGTTCCTGCCTCTTTATTTCTCTTGGCTACACTCTAGCTCTCTGCTCCTGGGCTGCTATGTGGAGGCACCGTAAATATTCCTTGTTGATACAGATGATGGTATGTGAATGTGGATTAAGATCAATGGGGACAAGGCTGCCTCTCACATGCACAGCTGGTATCTTTACTCTGTGGCATATGCCTGTGAAATAATGTGTGAGCTGAGGGTGGAGGGGGAGGAGTCATTGGCAAGTTTGTGGTGTGAAGCAAATTTTTATTGGTGAATGAGAGCCATGGAAGCTCTGAGTAATGTGTTCTTTTCCTCAATCCAATTTCCACATTCTGTGACTGGGAAAGGCAAGAGCAAGTCAGGATGAGCTTGACTCATGATGACCCTAGGAGGATTTTGCTAAGGAAAGTGGTCACATGTACTTCACATGCTGGGTGGAGGCAGCCTCTCCGCATATGGGGAAAACCTGGCAGACACTCAGTGCTCAGTATGTGATTAATTGCTATGTTGATAGAATAGTGCAGGCCTCCTTACCCGGAGCCCAGGCCCCATGCCTGCCTTTGCTAACTAAAGCAGTTGCCTGCTGTGGGTTGAATAGCTGGAAGTGAAACCCAGTGAGGGTAGGGGGTGGTGTGGAGGGACTTCTAACACTCCTGTGCAGAAGACTGCATTTCAAATTCTACAGCCCTAGGGACCAAATGTTCAAAAGTAAATGACAAATATTAGGATGGCAACCTCTTCATGACATTTAAAATTGCTGCCCACCCCTCCCTGAAATGCCCCCTTCTTGCTTGAAGCTTCTCCTTCAAGGAGTTTCCTGTACATCCCTGGTTTTCTACCATCTGACCAGTCTTTGCCATTTTGCTGGCCCTTTACCCGGCCGCTTCTGTTCCTTAGATGAGGGCATTCCTCAGCATTCATTTCCCATGTCTCTCTTCTTCTCTTCTCTCTTTTCATTCCTCTGTCTAGCAATCTCATCCCACCAGGGCCATTCTACTCCCTAGATCTCCACCTCTCCACCTACAACCCCACCTCTGAGAAGGCCAGGTCTGATTTTCCAAATGGAAGTTCCTCTAGACAAGTGGTTCTCAACCTCAGCTGCCCTGATTAGAGTCACCTGGGAGAATTTTTTTTTTAGTCCTGAAGCCCAGGCCAAACCCCCAGACCCATTCAATTAGAATCTCTGGGTGAGTGGAAATCAGGCATCAGTATTTTTTGGAGTCATTTTTAAGTCTCCCTCTTGAAGATTATTTTCTCTTTTCAGATCTCCCACAATTCTTTATCTGAACTGTTCTTAGAAACATGATACTTCTTTTTTTTAAGTCTGGCTCAAGAACCAGTGTCTGGGTCTCAAATCTGGGCATTGACATTTACTAACTATGAGACTTTAGGGAAGTTTGTTCATCTGACTATGCTTCAGTTTCCTCATCTGTAAAAAGGGTTAAGAGAAGAAATAATAATAGGACTTAGCTCATAAGGTTGTTATTAGAAATTAAAAGCCTAGATCAGTACCTGGCACTTAAAAAAAGAGATAATTAGAAGTTAGCTCTTATAGCTTTAACTAGTCCCTAGAATTATGTTTAATCCAATGTTCTGGAGCTTTAGCATATATAAAGATCACCTGAAATCACCTGAAGAGTATTAAAAAAAAATTATTGCTTTGGCCAGGTGATTCAGTTGGTTGGAGTATCATCCTATACACCAAAAGGTTGTGGGTTCAGTTCTTGGCCAGGGCACATACCTAGGTTGTGGGTTCAATCTCTGGTTGGGGCACGTATAGGAGGCAACAGGATTAAAAAAAATCCTGCATTTCATTTTTATTTTTTAGAGAGGGGAAGGGAAGGAGAAAGAGGAAAGAAACATATATTGGGGGTTCCAGGCCCATGAGCCAGGCACGTGTCCGGACCAGGAATCGAACCAGCTACCTTTTGCTTTACATATTGATGCCCAACCAACTGAGCCACACTGGTCCAGGGAAAAATTCCTACCTTCCCAGGAAGCTTTCAGGTGATACTGGTGCTCCTGGTGTGAGGACCTACCTGGGAGTATTCCTGACCTAATCCACCCCCGTACCATCTCCTGCCCGTACCTTCAGACTAAGGAGACTCAGGAGGCCAACTCTGTGAGACCTTTCCTATGTTCAGACCTCAGAGGTCATTCACCAATAGCCAACTTGACCCATCAAGCTCCCTAGGTTCCAAAAGTTTCCTGACTTATACTGTCAGAGCAGAGTCCTGATTCTTTTGTACCAATCCAGAGCTTTCAAGGAATAAATGGATTATGATGCAAGCATAATTCAAAAACAACCCCAACTCTGGATTAGAAGTCACAGGTTTGTGCAAAACATTAAGAATGGGCAACACTTGCTTTATGTGATCTTACTTCTTTGAAAAAGGCCCTTTTCTCCTTTATATGACCTCAGAGTATTTAGTGACTGACCATAGCCCATAGCTTGCTGTGTCCCTGTGGATTTAAATCCCTCTCTCAGACAGTTTTTCTCTGTGAGGCTTTCAGGTACCCTGTTTTAATGAAAGAAGAGCGTGGCTTCTCCCTCAGATAAGCAGATGCCATTCAGTGCATCTCCCTTAGGAGCACACAGCTCCTTCATTGTGCTCTTGACCCTGATTCTGGCTTCTCTAATTAAACGGCAGCACCAGGCATTTTTCTTCCTAGGAAGACCATATCCACCATTGTGTCTGGCCCTCTGCCCCTGTGCTGTTTACTTGGTTTGTCCCACCTCTGTGCAGCCAAGGTATCTAGCTCATTACATTCATTACATTTAAGCTGACTCTTTTTTTTTTCCATTTTAGCTCAAGTCCATTACACTAAATACTGTACACATTATTATCCCCTAAACAACTTTACTCAATCAGTTTTAGCAGCAAGGTCAAGGCCCAGTGAGCTGGAAGACCAATCCTCAAATTGGCTTTCAACCAAAACAGCCAACAGCCCCCTCCTTCTTAAATCAACACTGCTCCCAGAGGGATAGAGCTTTGCGTCAGTGAAGAATGTATTAATTAAAGCAAATGAAAACGCCCTCATTTGTTGTAATGAATTTAGTTCTTGCAGGCCATTTTCTATGGAGTCGCCTGCCTGGAAGATACGCTGAAAAGAATGAAAGGGAAAAAAGACATTAAGTTCGTAACTGCCTTCAGGGACCTGCTTTTCACCACACTGGCCTTTCCTGTATCCACAGTGAGTTGCAAAGATGTATATGCAATATGATACACATGTACATGTGGATGAACTCATCTCCTGGGTGGCGAGGCTGTTTGGGAGTCCATTATTGTAGACCAGAACAACTGTATTTGCGTAAATGTCCTGAGGACTGCATCACATTGCCCAGCGTTTTCAGGAAATAGAGCACATTAATGACAGACTTAGCATTAGCTTTTGTGTCTTTGTGAACTTTTGACACAAGATCCATGTTGCTATCTAATAAAGAAATTTAAAGGACCATTCTTAATCAAAATACAACTGAGCTAACCTTGGTTTCAGCAGGGCAATGGAGATGGAGAGTGCTAGAAAGAAAGACAACTAATTTTCCCTTTTATACATCTTGTTTCACTTGCTACAGTAAGTATATGTTACTTCTGCAAGAGGAAACCACAAAAAAAAAGATATGAGAAACTTAAAGTTGGCACATGAAAAAGACAACTGAGGAGAGAGAGACAGACGATCTGTCTGAAATACCCATTGGGGGGGGCACAAAAAGGGGGCCTCATTTGTTTTGTTGAATGAATGGACATTGGAAAGAAGCAAGGTATATGCAAGGGAGAGTAAGCTTGTTTGCTGACACTGTCCATGTTTCTATGACATGCTTAAATTTTCATTCATTAGAATGGAAACAAACTGAGATCAAGCATGCCAGCTGCCCAGCAGGGCCTATAATTAGACATGACTACCTCCTTCCACCTGCTATTGTCCTACTTCTTATAGTATTGAGACTCGAAACTTAAATGCAAAACGAAAGTCTCAGATAACAGAGCAAGTACTGGCATTCTAGTTTCGCTTTGCAAGATACCTCTTCTTCAGCCCCATAAATCTAAAGGCCAAGTTTTTTATAACAATGGAATTTACCCATTTTTTAAGGCCTACAATTCAAGCCTTTAGAATTTAAGAAGATTGGAAGATTAATAGTTTCTTTTTTTCCATCTCTAAATTGACTTTGATATAGAGGACAGACACTTTGAAAAGACAGCCAAGGGATATAAGAGGATGAGGATCAACCTAAACCTCTGAGCAATGGAGAGATTCAACTCTGTTAACTAGCTTGTGAGTGGTCCTGGGAGTTTGTCACTCCTCTCTCCCAGCCTTCCTACCTCCCCTTGTCATGTCTATGGAGAGGGTGGGCAAGGAAAGTGTTAAGACTCAAGGCATTCCAAGTGGCTGCTCTCAGCACTCCTGGTGAAAGTGTAAAGAAGAGAGAAGTCATTGGTTAAAATGAAACATCTTAATGGTTGCAAACCCTGTTCATCTATATCCTCACTGCCTGCCCCAATGACAAATAATTGATCCCTAACTCTCCAGATTCCTTAGGGTATGAATTTTTTTATTTATTTTACATTTTTATAATGTCTCTAAAACTGTGATCTACTTTTTGCTATGTTTTCCTTTTATCTTAGAGAGCTATGATTGAAAACAAACCTAATGCTATTTTTGTGATTTATTTTCCAGTTTGTATTTTTGTCATTCTGGATCCTCTTTCTCTATGATCGAGAACTTGTTTACCCTAAGCTCCTAGATGGTATCTTTCCAGTGTGGATGAATCATGCAATGGTGAGTGAGGGAAAAATTTAGTGCTTATAGAAAGGCAATAACCTCTGAACTGAACTCTAAAGTGCCTTATTTATGTTTCCAAACTTTTCCTGAACCCCCAACATCCTGTTCACTCCTCCCTCTGCATCCTGTCACTATTTATTTAAAGAGCTCATTAAGGATATAAGATGAATTAAAACTAGTACTGTAATTACAGTCACTGAGAGCACAGGGGGATGACCAGGCAAGACCATGCCAAGTTGCTCATGAAGTCATTGAAAAGACACGCAACCATAAGGGCAGGCAACCTCTTGGCAGCTGCAGTCGTGACAGAGAAGTGACTTCAGCAAATAACATGTAATGAAAATTCTGGTCTAGAAATGGAATTAAGTAAGCTTAAAAAAAATCCACCCCAACATCTAAAGAATATCTCAGAGCTCAGCAGCAGCTTCTTAGCTAACACAGGATTATTCATTGCAAATGGAATGATTATTTACATATTCTATGAGCGCATTCTTATTTTTTTATTCATGCACTTTTTTCAATCCTCACCTAAGGATGTATTTATTGATTTTAGAGACAGAGGAATGCTGGGAGGGAGGGAGAATGAGAGAGAGAGAGAAACATCGATGTAAGAGAGAAATATCTATCAGTTTCTTCCCATGCGCACCCTGACCCCGGACTGAACCAACAATCTAGCTATGTGCCCTGGCTAGGCATCATACCTAGCCATCTACAACTTTTTGGTGTATAGGAATGGTGCTCCAGCCAACTAAACTGCAACATCCAGGGTCATGCACTTATTTTTAAAGGGCTAAATAATAAACATAACCTGTTGTGAAATATTCAGGTTACTAGCACCTGAATACCAATAACGGTCACCTGGACAACCAGCATGGCAGCAAGGCTGTCCAGGTCTTGGATGAAAGACGGGCCTGAGTCATGGGCACTATCTGCATGAAGAAATCATTCAACATCCTAGCTTTGCTGTTTCACACTAACAGATATATTTCCACATTAGTCAAGAATTCAGAGTGAGGTTTCAGAGTGTGCGAAGCAAATGACATTTAAAAACTAGGGGAATCACAAGGCACTAGCATTGTCAAGGCTCCTCAAGATCACAGACTTTATTTGACCATTCCGTCGTCTCAACACTCTCATGATTACCAATCAGGAAAAGCAGCTCAGTCCAGACTCTGCCCCTCCAACATGCCTCATCCCCCAGTAAAAATGTACTTTCAGTTTAAATATGTTCTCAGTGAGATTACTGATGACTGAGATATCCAAGTTCTAGTCTAATTCAGAGTTCAGCACCAAAAACTATATGTTCAATGAGTCTTACCTCACAGAGAGCTCCTCCTACCACCTTCTTTTTGTCTGACCACCTCTTCCAAGGAAGGTCTGCCTACATTTCTAGTTCCCATTAGTATTAATCTGAGACAACTATTAAGGGACATTCCTGCTTTTTCATGGTACTTTACTGAGTACATTCCTCAAATTTGGGCTCATTTAACTCACACAACATTTAGATAACTATAATCCTGATTTATACAAATTAGAAAAAAGAAAAGCTCAGAGAAGTTAAGTGATTTTCCTGGGGCCACAGAGCTAATGGGTGGGGCACTAGGATTCAAATCCAAGGCTGATTCTGCTATCCCTTGTTCTTTGCTATAGTAAATGCAGGACTGTAGTCTGATCTTGTCTTATAATTCACCATGCAATCAAAAGACTGCATGTGAGAATTCTCACTTAAAACATCCAGAATCCCCATCTGTATGTTAATAAGCTAAAACATGACTTAAGAAAATTAGGTGATTTGGGACAACTGACTGAGCTAGATGTTACTAAGAAAAAAGAAAGGCAGAATCTTTCATTTGTGTCTTTTATTTGGGATTGGCCACCTACATCATACCTTTTCCAGGGTTTGTGAGCTCATCTGGTAGTTTTCCTGCAACTGTTATGTTCCCTAGCTCTTTATGGTTCCATTTTCCAGATGGAAGTAAGATTAGATTTCTTCCAAATACTTGTTTTGGTGATGCCCAGCATCTGTGATCTTGCTAAGCAGCCACATAGATTTTTAGTAATTGTAAAACAAGATAGCTTTGCAAGGTACATCAGATCCAAGAACAAAAACAATATTGTACAATAGACATCCTAAAATGTTTCTGTGCCTTCACAACCTGGGTTCTTTGCTCCTAGTCCCTTGGTCAATAAAGTAACCTGAATCTCTTTGAGAGAAGGGACTAGGGTCAAAAGAGGTGGGACAACGGTGACAAAGAGAAAAGAGGAGGTGGCAACCTGTGTTCAGTCAGACATTGACTCTGATTGTGTTCGTTTACATGGACAAAATCCCAACAGAGCCATTTCTAGGGGAAAATGTTGGCATCAGCAAAGCCAGCTTTGTGATCTTTTCCAGATTTTCATGCTTTCTGTTGGTGTTTGCTCCAAGTCCAGTGTCCTTGTGACTGCATCTCATCCCTGTCTCCAGATTGTGTCCCTTATGCCGGACATTTTCTGTCCTCACTATTAAATTCTTGTGGCCTATTGTGTCAAGGAATGCTTTCTGCTAATTTCTTAAATACTAGTATAAAGAAATATGGAAATGGCTGTTCCTGGGTCAATTTGTTAACACATTCTACATTTAACACTGTCCTTCTATGACAACCCAAAGGAATGACTACCCAGAAACCACCACGGTGGCAGCCAGAGTGATGATGGGCAGTCAGGCCAGACATCTGGTACTAGTTGCCTACACATGCTTGGGGCTGGCCCTGCTCTTACAGAGGATGCTTTCTGTACTGCTCCTTTTCTCTTCCACAATATAAGAATTATTGGCTACATATTCAGTGTCGTAATTTCCTGAAAGTTTCTTCCATTTCACAGAAGATTTATATTTGCTATTTTAGCCTTAGCTTTGAAATATCTTACCTGTTGCCATTTGTGATGATGCCCTGGGCTTTATGAGTAGTATTTGTCATATTAAGAAATACCATTCTCCCCCTTGACAGAATGCAGTTCTAAAACTTCCATGATTTATCAAGTCTTTGGAATCCTTCCAGTGTAAGCCTTCTAGCTCACTAGAAATTTGTCGTTGCAGTAGGACAATTTAAAGCTGATTTTCATCTGCATGGACATTTTTCTACCTTTGTTTTGTATTCAAACCAAATAGTAACATCAGTGAAACATTTGCATCAACCATGGACAGGCTACCTTCACTGGTGGCCTAACACTCCCATTGAGCTGGCTACCTTATTTCAAGTCGATCAACCTGATGTTTTACTGCTAAGCAGTTCTCCAGTTTTCATGAAAGAAGGGAAAGCACAGAAAAGTATTCTCCAGGTTTGCTAGGAAAAATTAGCTCCTCAGGTTTTATCTAAATGACTACTAAAGATAGAATCAGTGCAGATGATTTAAATAGCAGGAAGAGGACTCAGTAACTGAGGAAACTATGAGATGGTAACCAGAAGGGAGCTGGGGAACTTATTTCTCAGAAAATCAACCTAAATTGTTCAGGTTTCCCGAAAGAAGGGGCAAAATAGATCAGAGAACCCCCTCAAACCCTCTCTACATTTGAAAATAATACATGATAATTGAGAATGTGATGCAACTACTTTGTAAACTATCAAGGACTGCATAAATATGTCATTATCATGGAAAACTCTCAATCCATGAGCAGAGTTTTAGAACTGAAAAGACTTCATTGATATCAATGGAGGACTACAAACAATCTGCTCTTTTTTTTAAGATTTTATTTATTTATTTTTAGAGAGGAAAGGGAGGGAGATAGAGAGAGAGAGAGAGAGAAACATCAATGTGCGGTTACTGGGGGTCATGACCTGCAACCCAGGCATGTACCCTGACTGGGAATCGAACCTGCGACACTTTGGTTCGCAGCCCACACTCAATCCACTGAGCTACACCAGCCAGGACCAAACAATCTGCTCTTAAGAGCCAAGCCTTACTTTGGCTCTATAAATTGGAAAAACATACCAAATACAGCTACTTTGTTATTTAATGTGTTGTCTTTATCACTGGAAGAAATAATTATTAAGTACCTACTGTGTGTATAGCACCATGATTGATATTTGATAAGGGTTTTGACTTCTGGCACCCTAAATCTGGGTGAACCTAGTATATACACACAACATTAAGCAATAAGATAACAGTTAATACTAATATAAGGCATTGATATAGGTGGTGGCATGCAGCAGTGTATGATTACTGCCAAATGAAGGACGTGGACAGGAAAGCTTCATGCCCCTTGCATTCTGGCCTGGATGTGACCAACTTGTGGGTCATGACTAAACACTGTGAAAGGCCTTTGACCTCTCTCCAGGATGTAGTGGGGCATCAAAATGACAAGGGAGTGAAACTCTAACCCTTCCCGTTTCTTTCTCACTCATAGCACGTAAGATACTGTCTATCATTAAATTCAGACCCAATCTTGGATTTTTCTCTCTCACCTTGATGTGAAATTGGTGGGCAGCTAAATAGAGTTAGGTGAGTCCTGGTGAGTAAAGAAGGCCAACTGCAGGCATGTCAGTGCTAACTGGCCACCTTTTGTCCACCAACGTTATAAAGCCCTTCTGCACACCTTCCTGGTTTTTCAACCCAGCCCTTCTTCTAGGCAGAGGAGACCCACAGTTGAGGTACCTCTGAATAGCTCAGTTGTTTTCAACCTTCAGAGAATAGACCCCTCTGTGAACCTAAGAAAATCTATGGTCCATTTCCCAAAGACACACAAATACCCATAACACTTTGTTCATTATTTTAGAAGGTTTATGGACCCTCAAAATTCCATTTATAGGATGCAGATTAAGATCTCCAGGCATAACTGAGCATGTACTTGAAAAGAGCACTCCCAAATGATTGCTAATTCTGAGTTCCTATCAAAAAGACAAAATCAAGAACACTCATTTTTCAAAGTCATTATTATGTGTTCAGTGATGTTTTCATTTCCATGGGGTGATAAGAGAAACATGAGACATAGTTCCCAACCTCAAAAAGCTTAAATTACAAAC